GTACGTAATTAGAGCATATCTAACTTTTTCTTTCCTGCCTCAGCTTAAATGTCTCATTGTCATTAAAGCCATCCCTGACCCTCTGCCGATGAGGTAGGTCCTCCCAGTTAACATTCTCATAGAGCACTGCTCTTCCTCTTCATATCTTGCCATATCTTAATCTATGTAGATATTTGTATAACTATTTAATATCTTTACCACAACTCCTAACCACATATAAGATTATTATTTAGGGCAGGAACCGTGTCTTATTCACACTGATTCCACAGCACATAAAATCATAGTAGGCCCTTAATGAATATTTGATAACTGAATAAAGAAATGGATAACTATTCAGCAGTCTTTTCTCTACTAAACTGATCCATCTGCTTATTTATCCATGCTATCACCCCCCACCTCTGGCCGTGTAGTGTTAGGGACTCCCCTTAACCGTTTATTCATCCCATTTGCTTAAAACTATCGATAAGTGTAAGTCTCAATACTATCCTAATCCGTTAAGCAGTCTTTATTGAGAGACCTTTTCCTACCCAATAATAAGGAATTTAACCATCTTAGAGCAAGACCCAAAAGAATTTGTAAAAAGGTAACTTGGTGACCTCTGTAGCTCAGAACTGAATTACTCTACAGTAATAACCCACTGTCTGTCCCTCAGCTTTCATATAAATGATAAGAGTCTATTTTAAATGAATTGCCCATTTTGAGACAGAGTAGTAATGTATATGACAAATGGCAGTTGTCTCATGGCGTTTCGCTTAGCTAGCTTTACACAATTCCATCATCGTTAGGTTACTTAAGGATGTATATGCCCTTCTGTTGAGTTTGTCTTTGGGATTCAGTCTTACCAAGAACCCTCAGTTCTAGTTCTGCAACACCTGACACTGACTTTCAGTTACTTTGGTCCGCAGTGGGACTGTTTTCTCTACTATATAAGAGAGTTGGAGGACTGTCGGAACATCTTAGTATAACTTCTGAATTGTACTAAGAAATAGAAACTTACCATTGAGCTATTTCCTCTCATGAAACATACAGTGATACTTAGGCCTGAAGTGAGCATCCAGTGACCTGGGTTTCACTCTTAGCCTGCCTCCAACTCAGTGTGTCACCTTCAATGTACTTAATCACTCTGTTCTTCAACCTAGAACCTGCAAAGAGAATCTGTCCTAATCCCTACCTTTCACAGTGATATTAGAAATAATAAAATAATTCACCTCTGTGAAGCACACTAAAATTCTATGCAAAGAATTCTACAAAACCAATTCTATGCAAAGATTGTTAAATGTGTATGTATAGGATTGCTGGTGTTTCGAGCCAGGAAAAACAGTAGCACCTACTCAGGTCACCACCACAGGAGGCCTCTTAAAAACAGGTTGACTCAGCTATGTGATGGCTTGTGATTTTTATTGATACATAGTTCTCTTTTACTGACAAAAGAAAAACTGTGAGTCTGGAAGGAAGAATTAAAAGTAGTAGCTTCTTAGGAAATTAGTGCTGCAATGAACTATGGCAGTTTGTTCTTTAAGCAGGTCTGGCAATTACCCTGGAATTCTAGGCCTTCATATTTTTTCCAAGTGTTTTTCTTTATGCTTCATCATTCCTGATGAAAGGAATGAAATAGTTAAGAGAAAAGCTACAGGTTGTTCTGAAAAGATACCAGGTTTCTCAGAGAAGTGGTTATCTTTGGTGGTGCTCTGACCAACAGTGCTGAGAGCCACACTGGTCCAGTGAGTAAAGCATGGCTTTTTTGAGTCATAATATGCTATACCTTTTCTATTCCCATTGCTGCTTCCAGGATTTCTTATCTCCTGCCCTGGCAAATCATAACACACACACACACACACACACACACACACACACACACCCCATCCCTGTAAATCATACACACACACACACACACCCATCCCTGTAAATCATAACACACACACACAGACACACACACACACACACCCCATCCCTGTCCTGTGCACCCAGTGGTGGGGGGAGGTGGCAAAAAAGACAAAGTCATTTATATAATGTGTCTCCCTGCTGAGCCCCTAATGGCCGAAGCTTTTGTTCTGCATTCAGTGGCTGCATGTGATGGGCAGGAAGCTGCAGTCTCCCTTTGTTCCATGGCCTTATTCAGCAATTTAGATCCATCATAAAAATCAAATATGCATGTTGCAATCGCCTTGCCTACAGCAGCTTCAATTTTCACCTTTCTTTAATTTGAACTCCACAGGGGAAAAAAGGGGAGGAAGGGAGAAAGGGAGAATGGGGGGGGGGAATTGTTCTGTGTTTTTGCTTAGTGGACTGTGAAAATAGGCAGTAATGAAAAAATATATTTTTAATCTCATAGATGCATCCCATTCAAAACAGCACATACCACCAAACCAGGCTGGTAGAATCCCTTCTGAAAATGCCCTCAAACCATACCAGTTAGCTAAGGCTCCAAAACTGGATGTGAAATGATAGGAAAAGAGAAAAGCATGAGAGTATTACAAAAGAGTAGAAACAGGCAGACTGTCTTTCAGGCTTGAGGAGTCATCCTTTTCAGAGAGGTGACACTACACCACTTCTAATTATGGCCAAAAAGAATGTTTTATGTTCAGCTGACAGTCATGAGTTTCTTTTGTAAAAGAAATGATTTGGGGAAAGGGTTCATAGAGGGAGTGAGAAAGAGATTACATTTAAATATATATTTCCTCTCCAAATAAAAATGAACACATTGACAGAGATGTTTTTGTCCACTTATTGATTTGCACACTATATTTAAAATTTTCCCAGGACTTCAAAGGATGTGCTCCCTGGGGTTCAAATAAATTTGCATCAGCAGCTTTGATATTGATTATTCAGAAAAATACAGAAACCCTTTACCTATTTCATTATTAGACTTAAGCAATGGCTTTACAGAGGGGTTCGTGCCCTAATATAAACAATATGGCCAATATTTATTCGATTTATTAAAAAAATGAAATATCTGAAGAACTGTGCCTCTTTATGCCTGGTTTCACTTACAATATAGATTTTTGAAGGCTCAAGCTAAAGTTGAAGCCGACCAGTTTGAAGATTCTTTGCCTGTTCTTATAAATGGAGCTTTTATAGGGTAATTCCAGGGAGATTTGCTGGAGGCAACATTAGACAGACACTGAATATAATATAGCATGGATGCACACTAAGAGTGATCTTGGGGATCATTCAAGGTTGAAAAGCTTTTGATTGTCTTGAGTGGAGCTTCTTCTGGAAGATGTACTGAATGAGTCTGGGATCAAAACCAATTTCACAAGTTTGATCCAGTTGTAATATGGAAATCTACCAGATTCTGCTATGACTAATTAGAGATGTGTAAAGAGGGTTTCTCTTTCCCAACATTATTGATTTTCCTTTCAAACCCCCCAGTTTCACAGAGAAAAACTCTGGCATTTAAAAGTCTTCAATTTACTACAGTTCACTGATGCATGTAATCTTTGCTAACTGCATCCCATTTTCTCTGAACTTGGTTTTTCAGGCCCTCTTATGTTCTGGGTGTGTTTTAGATTTACTTTAGGTTTTAAGTGAAATCAAAGATGCACCCAGGACACACGAGCACTGAGAGGATAAATTTAATATTGAATTTTTTTTAGTTGTAATTTTTCCCTTCCCTCCATTGGAAATACAGGGAATTATCTATGCCCATAAAAAAGTGTAATTTTAAAAAGTGGATTCTACACAATTTAAGCTTACATATGAGTCAGGGGATTTATGTCTCCAATCTTATCTGTCCTGGAAAAAGTGAAAAAATTAAGATGGCTAATAGTACTTGGAATTTAAAACGTTGGAGAAAATCTGTGATTGAATAGCATAACTCAAGCAAAAGCTATGGCTCTATGCCACCTTAACTCCTCTCTCCCCACCCCATCTTTTAACACTGCCCCATACCTTTTAGAATACTGTGAACAGATATTATACCCTGTAACTTTTCATTAAAGTCCGGGTCATATGCTGGCATTTTATGTTTTCAACTTCTCTCATGAGGAAAGATGCTAGATAGATGTATCAGATGATAAACATTGCATATTGGAGAGTGAAGCCTTTTCTCTTTGAATTTAAGATAATTTAATATATAAGGTGTATCTTTTTTTTTTTTTTTTTTTTTTTTGTGGTACGCAGGCCTCTCACTGTTGTGGCCTCTCCCGCCGCGGAGCACAAGCTCCGGACGCGCAGGCCCAGCGGCCATGTCTCACGGGCCCAGCTGCTCCGTGGCATGTGGGATCCTCCCAGACCGGGGCACGAACCCGTGTCCCCTGCACTGGTAGGTGGACTCTCAACCACCGTGCCACCAGGGAAGCCCTAAGGTATATCTTTAATTGAACATTTTCCTCTCCTCTTTCATATGGGAAATGTTTTTGGTCCTTAGCTCTCTCTCCTTAAGAAATAAATTGTAGAAGGCACAGAGGTAAAAACTTTTTGACTATTTTCTTGACCAGTCTTCCTTTTCAGGGCACCTGGTTTACATTTCAGGTCATTCCAACTACGAACATTATTCTTACCTATGCTTTACACATAAATGTTAGATTTCTTTTCCCTCAAGATTTGAGAGTCCTCAGAGTGCCTCTTTCCCCTCGGTATTAAATCCATGTTGAACTAATGACTAGTCCCAATATATACAGTCTGTGTGTGTGTGTGTGTGTGTGTGTGTGTATATATATATATATATAAATATATATATATATAAAGAGATTTTATATAGGTAGCCTGTATATAGAGCCTGTCTCTATATATACAGTCATGTAAAAGTTGAGGGTACAGCCTCCAGAATTATACATTCTCTATTCCAATTCTTTTCCATCCTTGACCAGCTCTATGACCTTGGGAAATTTAGGCCTTAGTGTCTTCATTTGTAAAATGAGTATACGAAGATAATAGCACCTAATTCATAGGATGGTGAGACTTAAAAGAGATTCTGTAAAATGTTGTTTCAGGTTGGGTTCCTAGGGAAGCAAACTCTCAGGTCAAACTTAACATTCAGGTTGTTTATTATTTATTAGGAAGTGCATTTTGGATCAACACCTGTGGGTGATGAGCTGTACTGCATCCCAACAAAGACCTCAGCCAACCCCATAGGTAAGTTTTCTCAGTGAGAGCTGACAATTGAGGGCTGTCTTCTTTTAGGACTCCCATCAACTGGTGAAATAAGTCCTTCATTCCTGAGGGGGGTCTGGGTGGCATGTTACAGTGTCTACCAGAAGTATTTAGTAAGTGTTCAAGAAATATTAGTTATGTAGTAGTAACAGTGTATATTTACCTACTAGACCATTCTTATTTTTCATGATCCCAAACACTTGCTCCCATTATATATTTTAATTACAAGAGGCAGTATAGTGTTGTAGGAAGAGCATAGCTCTGGAACTGGAATTCTCGGCTTGAGTCCCATTTCCCCAACTCTTTGAATAGTGCCAGGCATGTGATATACGCTTTTGTGCTTATTGTTATTACTATTTTCTTTCTTCTCTTAAGTTAGACGTGTAGGTACTTTGGAATCAGAGAATTCTTGGTAAAAAACCCAGCTCTATCACTTACCAGCTGTTTTGATCATGGGCATGTTATTTAATGTGATACTCAGTTTTCACATCTATAAAATAGAAATAATGATGTCCTTCATAGAACGCACCAAGAATATGAAGGAATTACGAGCCTGTGCTTCATTTCCTTATCCGAAATATGGGAATATCTTACCCTTGGGATATTGTGAAGATTATGTGAGCTCATATATGAAAAGCACGTAGAATGATGCCTGACACGAGGTACACATTCAGTTAAGTGTTAGGTATATGACAACTGTATAAACCCCTCTACATAGTGCCTTGCATATGATAAGCACTCAGATATTATTTTTGAAGTCTGTCAAGGATGTTTTCTTTCTTCTCTCCTTTTAGCCTTTATTTCCTATTTCATCTGGCCTGCTGTTCCTTTCTTTTTGATTATTCCTTCCTCTTCCCTCACTTCCTTAAGGTTTTTGGATGTTATATGTGGGTCGACATTGAACCATATCCTCTAACAACTTTAAAAAAGTTAAATTTTTTTGGTTCTTGAGACAATAAAGCTGATGAGTGATTAAACATTATCTTCAGGTACAGGAAGGCTCTTGCTACAGAAGGGATGGTTGCCCTTCCTTTGCATCTTCAGGACAGAAGAAGAGAAATAGACTTAAATGTTGCATAAATACAATATGGATGAACAAAGAGAATGATAGAATCTCCAACCCTAAGAGAGGCTAGACACAAAGAATATTCTTAATTTACCTAGAATAGCTGTGTACATGTGTTCCCAAAGAAAAGAGAAGATTCTTTTTTTCCTATGCATAATGAAAAGGTTATTTTAAAAATTTTTAATTTAATTTTTATTTCATATTGGAGTATAGTTGATTTACAATGTTGTGTTAGTTACTGGTGTACAGCAAAGTGATTCAGTTATACATATACATATATACATTCTTTTTCAGATTCTTTTCCCATATAAGTTATTACAGAATATTGAGTAGAGTTCCCTGTGCTATACAGTAGGTCCTTGTAGATGATCTATTTTATATACAGTCATGTGTATATGTTAATCCCAAGCTCCTAATTTATCCCTCCCCCCCCAACCTTTCCCCTTTGGTAACCATAAATTTGTTTTTGAAGTCTGTGAGTCTGTTCTGTTCTGTAAATTCCTTTGTATCATTTTTTAAGATTCCACATATAAGTGATATCTTATGTTATTTGTCTTTCTCTGTCTGACTTCACTTAGTATGATAATCTCTAGGTCCATCCATGTTGCTGCAAACGGCATTATTTCATTCATTTTTTATGGCTGAGTAATATTCCCTTGTATATATTTACCACATCTTCTTTATCCATTACTCTGTAGGTGAACATTTAGGTTGCTTTCATGTCTTGGCTATTGTAAACAGCACTGCAGTGAACTTTGGGGTGCATATATCCTTTTGAACCATGTTTTTTTTCCAGACATATGCCCAGGAGTGGGATTCCTGGATCATATGGTAGCTCTATTTTTAGTTTCTTAAGGAACCTCCATACTGTTCTGTATAGTGGCTGTACCAGTTTACATTCCCACGGACAGTGTAGGAGGGTTCCCTTTTCTCCACACCCTCTCAGTGCACGTGGAACCTTGTGCACACCCTGGAGTCTCTGTTTTCCCCAGTCCTGTGGAGCTCTTGCACTCGAGCCCTACTGGCCTCAAAGCCAAATGCTCTGGGCACTCCTCTTCTCAATGCCAGACCCCCAGGCTGGGTAGCCTCACATGGGTCTCAGAACTCTCAGTCTTGTGGGAGATCCTCTGTGATATAATTATTTTCCAGTTTGTGAGTCACCCAGCTGGCAGGTATGGGTTTTGATTATATTGTGAAAGCACCCCTCCTACCATCTTGTTGTGGCTTCTTCTTTGTCTTTAGATGTAGAATATGGTTTTTTTGGTAGGTTTCAGTCTTTTTTGTCAATGGTTCTTCAGCAGTTAGTTGTGATTTTGTTGTTTTCGTGAGAGGGGGTGAGCTCAAGTCCTTGTGCTCTGCCATCGTGTCTCTAACCCCTTGGGAAGATTCTAATGAATCCCATTCTAGCCCCACAATCATCTGATTCTGTTTTTCCCAAACATTTTAACTATAAATATTACCTGCTAGTGTGTACCTTGCTTGGGCTATATTCTGTTGTCATACTGTCCTTCCTGGTTTCATAATAGCTGATGCCCTTTATAAACATGTCAGAAAGGATCTCAGTTTGGCACAGCCATCTGCTATTTCTAACAACTTATAAACGTTTTCTCTTTACAGTAGTGTGTGATAGTAAATAATAAGGTAGCCATAACTTTCTTTTGCACTCCAGCAGAAATAAATAGCCTGAATAAATTCACCTTATTTATACACAGTTTTTTTTTATTATGCTTTAGATTTAAACACTGCCAAGTGTTAACATTTTACATTAAATTGTTATGTTGACAGGAATTTGATAGTATGATTATGGCCTTTATAATCAATCATGTAGAAAATCATCTTAATTAAATAAACAAAAACTTAAGGAAAAGGAACATTTTGCTTGAGTTTATTCCATGGGAATAAGAGGAAGAGTGGCACAAAATAGAAGCAGACATCTGTGGAAATAAAGGAGAAAAATCTGCAATTCTCAAAATCCTAGACTTCTCTTTTGAGGATATTATCATGTAAAGATCTAGGAAATACACATCTTCAAACATACCCATATATATATATATATATATGGGTATGTATATATAAAAGCTGTATTTTGATGGCAAAGCTATCATCCTCATCATACTTTGAACTACTGTAGCATCTCCTACCCAGGAATCTCAAATTCCCAGAAATTCTATACAATATAGTTATTACATGTTAAAATATATGAATCATAGACCTTTTCTTCATGCAAGTCCCTGGGAGTGTATGAATTATATCTCATTGTTTTTAGAACTTTTTCCTTGGGTTCCTCCTGATTATCTCCACTGAAGAGAGACCTGTGCCCTGTTGGTAAGTTTTTTAGAGACTTCATGGCACAGGAATATTCTCAATTATATTTTGTCATTAAGACATCATTCCTCAAGAATTTGAGGAAGCTAGATGGATTGTGGATGTGAGTGTGTGTGTGTAACACAGGAGAAGTTCTTTTTTTCTTATCTCTTGTGCTTGGCATGTAGTTGGTGCCCAATAAATAATAATAGTTGAGTGAGTCCATAAACATAAGTTGTTTTTTTACAGTTATTCTTTTGAAATGCTGTATTTTTGTTACATCAATGTCCAAAAGAGTTCTGGAATTGCTTTCAGACCCTGCAGTACAGTCTTTTGAATGCACTCATCTTTTCATATCAGTTAACATGAACTGAGTGCCTATGGTGTGTGTGTGTTTATTTATTTATTAATTTATTTATCATCATGATTTCACCCATCAGTAGTTTATTTATTTTTTACTTGATACTGGGAAGTTTCTGTTGTTAATATATATATATATTTTACATCTTTATTGGAGTATAATTGCTTTACAATGGTATGTTAGTTTCTGCTTTATAACAAAGTGAATCAGTTATACATATACATATGTTCCCATATCTCCTTCCTCTTGCGTCTCCCTCCCTCCCACCCTCCCTATCCCACCCATCCACGTGGTCACAAAGCACAGAGCTGATCTCCCTGTGCTATGTGGCTGCTTCCCACTAGCTATGTATTTTACGTTTGGTAGTGTATATATGTCCATGCCACTCTCTCACTTTGTCACAGCTTACCCTTCCCCCTCCCCATATCCTCAAGTCCATTCTCTAGTAGGTCTGTGTCTTTATTCCCGTCTTACTCCTAGGTTCTTCATGACATTTTTTTTCTTATATTCCATATACATGTGTTAGCATACGGTATTTGTCTTTCTCTTTCTGACTTACTTCACTCTGTATGACAGACTCTAGGTCCATCCACCTCACTACAAATAACTCAATTTCGTTTCTTTTTATGGCTGAGTGATATTCCATTGTATATATGTGCCACATCTTCTTTATCCATTCATCCGATGATGGGCACTTAGGTTGTTTCCATCTCCTGGCTATTGTAAATAGAGCTGCAATGAACATTTTGGTACATGACTCTTTCTGAATTTTGGTTTTCTCAGGGTATATGCCCAGTAGTGGGATTGCTGGGTCATATGGTAGTTCTATTTGTAGTTTTTTAAGGAACCTCCATACTGTTCTCCATAGTGGCTGAACCAATTCACATTCCCACCAGCAGTGCAAGAGTGTTCCCTTTTCTCCACACCCTCTCCAGCATTTATTGTTTGTAGATTTTTTGATGATGGCCATTCTGACTGGTGTGAGATGATATCTCATTGTAGTTTTGATTTGCATTTCTCTAATGATTAATGATGTTGAGCATTCTTTCATGTGTTTGTTGGCAGTCTGTATATCTTCTTTGGAGAAATGTCTATTTAGGTCTTCTGCCCATTTTTGGATTGGGTTGTTTGTTTTTTTGTTATTGAGCTGCATGAGCTGCTTGTAAATTTTGGAGATTAATCCTTTGTCAGTTGCTTCATTTGCAAATATTTTCTCGCATTCTGAGGGTTGTCTTTTGGTCTTGTTTATGG